TATATATATATATAAATTAAACGTCCTTCCGAAGCGGACAACGGAATTTGGATTCCGGCGACCGACAACTTCTTACGGGTAACTCGTCCCAACTTTTAAGTGCCGACAGTGTCTAATTCTTCATAAATCCTTAAAATTCTTAACAAAGCATTTCTTGCAAATATGTGACAACACGAGCGATCACAACCATACATTTATCATGTTTTTCTTTGATTTGTCAGTACTTGGTCAATAGCAAGCATCACGCTCTTTCTTTTCTCTCTTGCTCTCGAAAAAATATTGCGTCCGGCAATCTGCCTTCGGACAACGGATGTGATGCACGGGCGATAAATATATATATATTTTCCTCCGCTGCATCGCCTGCGTCTGTCTGGACTCTGGACTGAATATATTTTCCTTGCTCTCCTCCCTTGTATTCAAAACTTTAGTTAAGAGACATTAGAGCATCAAATTTTTGCTCTAGTATTATGTGATTGTAATGTAGCCTAATTTTGTCACTCCCCTCATCTTGAACAATGAATAAAAGATAGAATTTGATTTGTTATGTGTATATTATTTATTTTATGGAAAAATACATAATTTTAAAAGTCATTTTAATTAAATTTATTATGCTATCTTGATTCAAATGTTTTATAGATATCAATGGCTTGCGACGAACAAGATAAGGTCAATGGCAAGTTGACAGCAAAAAAATAGTTTTTATTTTCATTTTTTAAGTTTTTTATTTGCAAAATTAGCACCAATGTGGTTTTTTTTAACTATAGAATTACTGTGGTTATGTGGGAATTTGATAAAAGTGGAAAATATGGGTTGGGCTTTATGATAAATTGTGATGTTTGAGTGATAATTTTAAAAATGGATGAAAGAGAATGGTAGTTTTGTAAATAGCAAAATATTGAGTGCTTTTTTACGTAATTGACCTTTCTATTTTTTATTTTTTTGACAAAGAAATAATGTTTCTTAGCTTGTTTGGGATCACTTTTAATTTTAATTTTAATTTTAATTTTTTATTTCAAAATATATTTATTCAGTTTTTTTTTTCTTTTTTTTTTATTTTAAATTTTCATAAATAAATTAGCTTAATTTAAGAATTAATCAAAACAGCAAAAAAAAATTTTTCAGTATTTTTTAAAATAATTTAATATGTTATAGCTTAACGTACATGTTTCATTTTAATTAAAATATAAATAAAATAAAATAAATAAATAAAAATAAAAAATGATCCTAGAGGGCTTCTATGAATTAGATATCAGAAAAATATTCAACTTCGGTAGGTTATTAAAAATATTAGTGGAAGTGATTTCGTAACGATATTTTTCAGCAATAATTTTTTGTTACAATTTGGGACAATTTTTATGAGGAAGGAAAGATGTTAGTGTGGTGAGGTGAAGATATGTGGTGGGCCCCGCCATCACCTATCATAATAGCATGTGGTGAAAATTAAAAAAAAAAATTCTATCCGGACGGCAACCACCGCCGGCAATATCGTCCGTCTCAACATGTATGATGATGTGGCTGCCAGTAATTGGCCGTCGGGATGTGCAGTGTCCAAGCGAACTATTTTGTCATGAAAATGTGAGTGTTTGATGTTATATTAAATGTTTTTGTGGTTTATATATCAAAATTCAAGCTTTTTTTAGTTCTTAAAATATATGTGAATTTTTTGAAATTATTTTCTGACTCCTTTATGATAAATAATTACAAGTAAAGAGAAAATATTTTAATATAAGGGCCATTGCATTCATACCATCAAATAAATATGTATTTACATATCTAAAACTTAAAACATTATTTTTATAAAGTGAAATACATTCTTTCATGCATGTATAAAATGACATACATTTAAAAATTGAAGTTTAATTGTTAGATATGTAAATATATGAGGAATGAGTGGTGTCTGTGTAAATCTTAACTGTTACAAGGGGGTATAACGTGGATATAACCCTCTAATACTCTCTGTATATCCTCCAAACGTACGCAGCGCTGCATACGTCATATGTACACAATTTTTTTCCCTTATTTCATGGTTCATGGGCCTCCGAGGCCTATGTGTTCCCAAGTTTTATCCATGCATAAATTTTTCTCAAATGTGTATGATAGTAATTTGATATACCTATAAGATGATCCAATTCATGCGAATTAATTCCTTCATAACATAATGTGTGGATGATAAATCATCTATAAGCATTTCTGTATTTTCTTTTTAAATGAAAAAAACATCAATTCAATGCTATTTGTTTTCTTGCAAGCATTTTTTACCCTAATTTATATTGATATTCTAATTTCTTTGAGAAAAATACTTACGTATCATTTAAATTTTATATATTTATTAAATTTAATTTTTTTAAAAAATATATTATAAATTAAATAAAAAAATATGACATAAAAATGGGGCATTTACATACATACCACCCACCCATCAACCCATTAAATTCTTATGTTCTTACATATCCAAAACCTAATATTTGTTTTTTTGCATTTTTACCATCTAATTCTTTCATTTGACTTGGAAAACATAGCGAAATAAATCTTTCCATGTATAGGTACGATTATATTATGTAAAAATTAATGTTTACATATTAAATATGTAAATACATAATGCATAAGAATTGAATGGTATGCATATAAATCCTCTAATAAAAATTGGGAAATTATATACATGACATTAGAGTTTTATATATTTACATATCTAACATCCAAAGTTTGATATTTATATTTATATTATAAACCTATGCATTAAATCATGTACATCATTGTTAGAATGTTAACAATAACGATATATTTTTATGTATTATTAACGATTTGAATGCTATGTATTAGATTTCCAAGTCTAGTAGTTAGATACGCAAATATATAAGAATTTTATGGTAAGTATGCAAAAGCCTCACAAACTTTTCGAGGCATTTACATACCTACCACCAAATTTCTTTGTATTTACATAAAACTTTTTATTCATAATTAAGGAGATATGTATGCACAAAAATAAAGATGAGGCGAGTAGTTATATAAGAACTGAGTGGTAGCGGGGGTATGTATAAAACAACTATATGTTTGCAAGCAGCTGATGTTTGACTCGTTAAGTTGCTCGTGTTCGATTTGTTTGCTAAACAAACGAGTTGAACACAAAAAAAAATTTCTTGTGTTCGATATATAAACGAGTCAAACACAAACAAAGTTTTGATTATTCATGTTCAACTAGTTTTGACTTGAATTAATGAAATTATATATATAATTCATGAGTATTACTTTTAAATAATTTAATTAACTCAAGGCTACAAAGATTTATAATGAATTAAAATTATTATTAAAAGAATAGAATAAATATTTATATAATATTATATTTAAATAAATATTTTAATATAAATAATAAGATTTAAATATCGCTCTGATCTTTACCATCGAACGACTATATGATTAGGGAAAAATATTACATTAGTACTACGGACCTAGAAATACGGTGCGTAGCCAATAAAATCACGCCACGTGCGATAGGAGAAAAAAACGGCGCAGTAACACGGGGAATATTCCCCTCCGTGTTATTCATGGGTTATTGTGTGTTATTCATGTGTTATTGCATGTTATTCATGTGTTATTGATGTGTTATTCTGTTATTATAACTCCAAGAATATTCTCAGGATACACTAACACATGAATAACACACAATAACCCATGAATAACACGGAGGGGAATATTCCCCGTGTTACTGCGCCACGGCGCAGTAACACGGTGAATATTTTTTCCCGTGTTATTCATGTGTTATTGTGTATTATTCATGTGTTATTGTGTTCTATGAATATTCTTGATATTATAATAACACAATAACACATCAATAACACATGAATAACACACAATAACACATGAATAACACGGGAAAAAATATTCACCGTGTAGAGCCGTTTTTTTTCTCTGTCGCGCAGGATGTCGTGGCGTTATTTTATTGGCTACGCATGTTACTCTACGTGCGTAGTACTGATGTAATATTTTTTCTATGATTAGAGTTATCAAAATGGCTCATAAATAAACAGCCCTTATTCAACTCGCAAAATAGGGAATAAATTTTTAAGCCAGATCTATAAATTGAGTGGAACATGGACGACGACACTTTTTAAGGAGCCAAAACACTAACAAAAACTTTGGCTCGCACCATCACTCTGAGAAACATGGCTGCTCGGGCTGCCGTCGCTTCTTCGCTCCAGCGTCTCTCATCTTCGTCGCTTTTACCAGCGAAGCTCATCTCACGGCGATCTCTCTCCGCCGGCGGAGGTATATCTTTTTGTCATTATCTCTCGCATTCACAACATCAACTCTATGGATCTCCACTTCGTTTTTGATCTGTTTTCCTTCGAGTTTAGAATAGATTTTCCGAATTTCGATGTTGTCGAAGGAATATACAGCCTCGGATCAAAGCGATCTTCTTAAATATGGTTCCAATTTCTCTATAGAGCTTTGGTTTGAGGGGTATGGAGGATTAGGTCTTCAGCAGTACAAGCTTATTTTCTATTGACGTGAAATTCACAGCGGATTAGTATTTTTTTATCAAATCGTATCTGTTATTTGCTTTGATTGGAGGTGGGTGATTTTTATCGAGCCCTATTTCTTTTCTATTTTTTTTCGCCCTTATTTCCTTGTTTTTAGAAGGGTTTACGCAGAAGGATCAGAAGTCAAGAAGGTATGAATTATGCTGACAATTTTATGGTTAGTTGAATTGACTAAGAATATCTATGTGCATTGTGACACTTTAATTTTAGTTTGCTAGATGTCGTAGTTGATATTTGAGAAATATTTGGGTCAGTGCTGGGATTTCTCATGATGGATCTCAATACTAAGGGATTATTTTTGTTAAATGAGTTTAATACAAAATTTGATTGATTATTCATCTTAGAACAAATTAAATGATTATGAGACCCAGCATGACCAAATTTCGGTTAGGTTATGCTGGATAGCAAAAGTTTTCTTGAGCAGGAGGGTGAATTAATCCATATATGGCGGAACTTTAGTTTAAACACATTATTTTCTTATAGATTCTCAAGCACTGAACTCTTATTTTGGTTGTTGCTGCTTTTTAACAGATCATCATGGACCTGCAAGAGTTAATCTCTGGGACGATCCTCTTAGCCCATCTAAATGGAAGGAAGAGCATGTGAGTTTACGTTTCTTAATAGTGTTTTTCTAGTTATCAGGGTACATGAAATTGTTTGTGCTGTTTTCCTCATGACCAAACTTTTGAATTATGACATTTCTCTTGTTTCTCTTATTTGTCATCTGGTCATGCTCTGATGGCCTAATCATTGTCCATTGTTTTCTGTATCATCACATTATTAACCTCATCTTAATTAGTTGGTTTTGGCAATTGGATTTGTGATTAATATTTTATTCTTTAATGCTGAGTTTTGTATAAAATTAGAGATCCATAGCAGCGAAATAAGTTGTGCTTTTTAATTTGCAAGCTTAACTTTGTGTATGTGCATGCACATGAAAGGGAGCGAGGGAGGGAAATTTGAGTTAGAGATTGAGATGTGGTAGCGAGCAGCTATGCTTCAATCTTTCAAATTATTAATAATTCTTAATTTGATTGGAAAAGTGTTAATGACCTGCAATTGTTTTGTTTATTCAGCAGGGGTAGAAACACTCTCATATGAAGATTTAGAACTTGGTTATTAGTGGAAGCAAAATTAGCTCGCATGCATCTCATTGTGAAGCAATATGGTCTATTAACACTTGTAGGAGAATTTGTTGGATTTAGGCTCAAATGTTATCATTTATCTAGCAAGTATGTCCCGGTTATCATACTGAGCAAGGATCATATGATATGTTAACGAAAGGTAGTGGTAACACAAGCCTTAGTATAGGAATGCTAATGGAACGTGTAACATCCTTAATGTGCGTTGCTTTGGCTTATTATCATTCACAGGCACGACTTGATTAGCTTAATATTGATTATTAGATCAAACACAAGCTTGCACGCTGGTCAAACCCAAGTTCTAAAGCTCATGCTGTTGTGATTGGTTATCATCATCATTAACATATGTTTGTGGAGCTAATGAGATTGGTGGGGCTAATGGGGAATGTGTAGCTTTCAGGATTAGAGGGTATAATATGTCATGTGGAGTTTGTAGGGTTAGTTAGTTTGTATGGAAATTGGAATTTGTGAGCTTGGAGGATTTAGTAGGGTTGGTGTAGTGGAATATGGTCATCCATTCAATGAAACTATCAAGATGCTTTAATAGAACATCAAATTAAATATATCAACCACATTCAATGGGGTGTGCATGGTGGTAGTATGATGCATATTAATAACCAGGAGAAGATTGATCAACATAATGTGATGTATGTATGTATCATATGGAAGAGGAGGGCATACTAGTTTGTATATAATCCGTTTATGATTCATAGTAATGTCGCTAAGATGCTATCTATCATCCCTAGCATATAATTATTTCTGCATTATTTTTAATAATGATATAGTTAGCTTCATTGGAAAACAGACTCTCAGTTGTGTTGTCATTGGGGAGAGAAAGTATAGTCATACTTGATCTTAAATGAATTTGCAAATATGCCTTTATCAAACATACCTACCATATGATTATTTTTTTTATCTTTTCTTATAATGAGATTGTGAGCACTTGAGGAAACTTGGAATCTCTCAGCTGTGCTCCTAACAAGGAAAGCTATGGACTCTTTTGAGAAAGTAGATCGATACAAAAAAATTCCTCCTAATGAAGTAACAAGAGTTTATTTGGATATATCAAGGCTTCCTATAAGCATTAGTCTCCATACTTAATGATTCTTTATTATCAGGGGCGATTAAGAAAATAATATGATCTTGCTTTATGATTTGATGTTTACTAATATATATATCCCTTTGCATGGTGCGTTAATGAGCTTAGTTGGGAGGATCTATAGTAAATCCTTTCAAGTTCTCAAAGTTTTATTGTCCAAAATGTATTGAATGGGCCTTAATCCAAGAGCTAAGGAGCCTTGGCCATGACAATACTGGTTTAGGTAGGTATTACGTAGGAAGCTTATGGTGTTTGTTATATCAAGGCTTCCTATAAGCATTAGTCTCCATAGTTAATGATTCTTTACTATCAGGGGCGACTAAGAAAATAATATGACTCTTGCTTTATGATTTGATGTTCACTAATATATATATCCCTTGCATGGTGCGTTAATGAGCTTAGTTGGGAGGATCTATATTAAATCCTTTCAAGTTCTCATATAGTTTTATTGTCCAAAATGTATTGAATGGGCCTTAATCCAAGAGCTAAGGAGCCTTGGCCATGACAATACTGGTTTAGGTAGGTATTACGCAGGAAGCTTATGGTGTTTGTTAGTGTAGAACCATTAAGCTTGTTGCGATGTATGATGGGTTGGTGAGTTATAGTTTGTGTTTTTGAGACACCATATTGGCAACCATTGGTCATTTCTGCCACGAAAATCTTTGAAGGATGGAGGGGTGGAATGAAATGACTGTTGATTATCATTTCTATGGGTAAAATTATGCCATTTGGACCTGAGATTATTTTCTCTTAGGCTAAACTAATGCTTGGGCACATATTTCAATTTCTTTGATCCTGTATACCTCTTGAGATATTTGGCAGTTGTAGTTTCGTATCAATCCTGAGTAGAGACAAATATGAATTATATATCACTCTTGGGATGGAAGATGTAGTATAAGACGTATAGCTCTTTGAGGTAGAAGCTATAGTAGATGTAATTTCACCCCTTAGGCTGAGGCTGAAGCATATCAAATATCATATTTTTGGGTGAAACTAATGTTTAATGCATAGCACCCCGTAGGGTGGAAGTCAAAGCTTACAGTGTATTAACCTAAGGGTGGAACTTTGGAAGTCAATGTGTATATGAAGTTTAGCTTCTTAGGGGGAAAGCCAAATATGATCAAATATTTTCTTTTTGAGAGGAAGCAAAAGTTGATTGCATATTATACCTTAAAAGTGAAAGTTGAATTTGATAATTCTCCACCCTTCAGTGTGGAAGCTAAAGTAGATTATTCATCACCCTTGAGGGTGAAAGTTAAAGCCAATTGACTTTGTTTATATGTTAAATGTTAATCGTTCTATTGCTTAAGTAGACGATGCATCACCCGTGAGGGTGAAAGGCCAAAGCATATGGGCTTTGCTTATAAGTTAATCTTTCTATTGTTATATTGTTCCATCTTTATACCTAAGTTTTAATAGGTTAATCATTCTATTTTGTTTTCATCATTTCGTCATGTTTATGCTTTTCTTCTCAAACTTTGGCTTTTGAAATTTAATTTTGATATTCCAAATATTTATTATCCAAACTTTCACAACTCTGAAGCTTTGTTTCTAATTCTTTTTAATTTTTCCCTCCAACCAGGCATCACAAATTCATTTTTTGTCAAACTTTAGCTTTTAAAAAGTGAAATACACCTTTTTACGCATAGGTAAGGTGTTATGTATGTTAAAAAAATGAATTTAGGTGTTAAACATGTAAATTCATAGGAATTGAGTGGTATGTATGTAAATCTTCCCTTTTTTAATTGGATCAGAACATTTTGTCTAATATTGAAAAAGTAAGTATAACACGAAGGTCCTGGAGCTTAGATTCATGAGTTTTGGTCCAGAACCATAATCAATAAGAAATAAATACAAGCTTATGATTACGAAGGATCCCATGAGCTAGCGAAGAACACAAAAACTAGATGTGAATGACTACAAAGCCAATTCACAACAACCAGTAGGAAGCAGTCTAGCCATTTCCATTTAGAAGTGAAAAGGCATAAAACAAAAAAACTAGCAAAGGAGGATTCGGGGAGATATCATGCTGGATAATACAGATAGAAGAAGAATATACAACTTAAAATACTCTTCTTTCCATTAAAACTAAAATATCTAAATACAATTCAAGTATTCAAACAATGGCTAGGACCACTGTTGACCTCATTTTTAGTGAGGTCTTAAGTCTCCTTCTCGTAGAACCTAGGATCTAGATTTAGGAGTTCTTATTGACCATCCTAGCGGACTAGCGATGGAGCCCACCTCCCGTAGAACTTCAAGCCACTTCTTGACTCATTTTTGTGAAGA